AATTTGGGATCTTTCAGATCCTAAGTGGCTGAGATTTTCCATTTTTCAGTTAAAATTGTCTGTTTCTGGTTGAAACTTCAACTTTAGAATGTTGCCCAGCTGTTCAAAGGCACAGTCACTTAAATAATTCAAAGTTTCTATGGACAAAAGTTTCAAAGTATGTACCACCCCCTGCCGTGGGCATTTCTCCATACAAACCGCCCACTTTTGCGCATTTTCCCATAACCAACCACGCGCTTAATTTAATTTCCCTTGATGTCCGCAACAGAATGACTGGAAAACAAGCGCCATTTAAACACAAATCAGTAATTTTGAAGTCTAAAATTAACAGTCTGGGTTCGCTTTTCGGATGATATTTTGGTCGACGTTCAAAAGCGGCTCCGTGAGGTCAAAACTTAAAAATAGCGGCCCACAAACTCACTTTAGTGTACTTTAAAAATGTTGTTCAGTCACGTTGAAGCACAAAAACACGTTGTTGAATTGCGCGCTTTAACACCGGTTCTCTCAATTTCTGTTGCAGGCTTTTGCAGAACCTGACGGAGAAACAAGATCGCATCGAAGCTGATCTCGCTGAAATCGACGAGGCGCTGAGCGCGATCACGCAGAAGAAGAGCGAATTGGTGGATCTGAAGAGCGAAATCATCAATTTCTACGTGTTTGACGAGAACGTGGTGCAAACCGAAGACGATTTGGGCAAACTTGGTTCGCAGGTGCGCAGCCGAATCAACGACGCCGCCCAACTTTCATCCGACCTCAGAAGCAAGTACCAAACAGCGCAGAATCTCGTACCGTCCGACTTGGCTCAGGAACTGAACCAGTTGGAGCTGCTCACTGAGGCTTTGGACACCGCAATGGAGGACAAGGAGAAGGAGTTCAAAAAGGCGAGAACCATCCGCACCGACTACCTGACCGACGTGGAGGAGTTGCAGATCTGGATCAAAGAGTCCGAGCTGCAGCTGCAAGATCGAGCGGCCACTCCTCAGCAGCTGCACGAGAAGCTGCAGCAGATCCATTCGGAAGTCAGCGCTGTTACGGATAAGCTGGACAGAGTGACGCGCAGCGGAAAAACCATCATTGAAAAATCGCGCAAACAAGACGAGAGGGACATAGTGCAATCTACCATCGACAATCTCACCGACCAGATCAACCAAGTCAAGGCCCTGCTGGAGGAAAAACGGGACCAAGTTGGGGACATCCTGGACGCCTGGCAACGTTTCCTCGCCCTGTACCAACAGGTCGTCCAATGGACCGAGGAGAAGAGGATTTTCCTGCTGGAGCCCCTCAATGTGGGCTCTTTGCAGGACGTCAAGCAGAGGCTGCACGACTACAACGTAAGACTTCCTCCGCCACCCAGCCACCATCTAATTGAGCGCATTTTCACAGAACGCAGTCAAGAGCTGCAAGGGAGCCACCAAGAGCCTGAGCGACATGGTAAAAGAGCTGGAATACATCGGCACAGTGACCACAGTGGGCGATTTACCGAAGAAAATGGAACATGCCGAAGAAGTGAAGACCGAGGCGGAAGCCCAGATTCTAGAACGGGTTTGTATTCGCCAACCGCCAGCGATGAGCTTGCACATAACTGGCCGAACATTTAGAACGCCCTGCTGCAAGAAACCTGCGAAGAATGGGAGCAATGCGAGAAGAAAATGAAGGAGACGAGGTCCTGGACGGAGAAGACGCGCGCCGCCCTCGAGTCCGCCCAGAACAAGAAGAAGCCCCTGCGGGACCAGCACGCTTTGCGCGAGAAAATGCTGGCCGACATCCAGGTGCAACGCACGAAAATCTCCTTATCAAGCGAAAAGCTCCAGGTAACTTTCCAGCCCCCTGAAGCCAGGCTGCTTCATCCAGACGCTTTTCCAGCTCCATTTTCGCTCCGGCATCAAGGCGGACACGACAATCACCGAGTCCGTCAGCGGCCTTCTGCAGGACCTTTCCAGCCTGGATGCGTCCATCAAAGCCCAGGTCGCCCAGCTGGAAAAGGCCATCGCTCAGGTCGAGGAGTATCAGCTGGAGGTGCAGCAGTTGCGCCAGCACATTGTTCAGGTATGGCAAAGAGCTTCCGATCGAGTTGGGGTTGATTTAGTTGCCTTTGGACGTTGCGAGTTTTGGTTGAAAAGCGGTTTTAGGAGTTAGTCGGGTTCAGAGGACTTTGGGAGAGGTTCGGGAGAATCGGTTATAAAGCGGGTTGGGGCATAAAAATTATAAACCAGTTTTGAACTTTGAAGAGATCAAGTGGAAGGTCGAAAATCGGGTATGAAGATGGAAAAATCGTCTACATGTAGAAATGTTTTTCGGGCTTTGAAGCCGTGGTCCATGGGAATTTCTTCCTGACGTTTCGTCCACAACT